CGGGAGGAAAGAAAGCCTGAAGGGGGGAGTGGAAGCACACACTGACTACGGAAAGCCCAAGGTGCTTAGCAGTCTCAATCCTCCGGTGGAAAACGGTTTCATTCGAATGAAGGCAACGACAAAAAACAAGCCCCGCCTTCTAATGGTCCTTCCCACTTTCTCAAAAGCAGGCGCCAAGGGAAGTACTAGTGGGCACCATGTTGCCCTCGGATACCATGTTGGGGAGCTCTGCCCTGAATTCTTAAGAGTCCAATTTAGGAGCACATAAAAAAGTTCTGCTGGATCAGGCCATCTAATCCAGCATCCTGTTTCCAAGGGTGGACAGCCAGACCCTTCCAAGCAAGGCAAGAAGGCAACAGTACTCTGTGGTGTGATTCTGCAAATCCTGATCGGTAAGAGATCATGCCCCTTGTACCAGACACCTATGCAAGATCTGGCCAGACCCACGGACTTGGGGGTGCCTACCAGTGTTCCCTCTAAGCTGAGTTTGTGTGAGCTAGTCTTTTAGCCTCTGGCTCATACATTTTTGCCTCAGCTCAGGAATGAGGGCTCCAGAGCAAACTTAATTGATGCAGGAGCCAAATCGCTCGCTTACAACTTTAATGCCCGCAGCTCACAAATTGGAATTTTTTGCTCATGAGACTCCACGGCTTAGAGGGAGCATTGGTGCCTACTGAAGTAGGTGGTATGCCAGAAAACCTTCTGCTGTATTGTGGCTCCAAAACAAAACAAAACATGTAGTTCCTTAGGAGAAGGTGCTGGTGCCATACCTACAAATGTGGCTACCACCAATGAGAGATGGCTTTGAGGTTTGGGTGAGGATCATGGGGATGAGCGTAGAGACAGAAATCCTAGAGTGACACACACTTCCTTGTTTTCTAGTTTCATTTGCAAAATCCATTGATCTCTGCCTGGTCTGCTTGCTGGGTGGGGCCAGGAGTGGCACAAGATAGTGGGTGGGTGGGGGTCAGCTGTGATAGGTGGTGCCAGGGGTCATTTCCTGCAGGAGCGCACAGGAGCGGATCTCCGGCAGGAAAGAGCCCAGGGGGCGGGCACATGCAACAAGCCCCACCCCCTGCTCCCAGCAGCCCTCAGTCAGAGCAAGAAGCAGGCAGGTAAGCTGCAGAGGCCCCTCCCTGGCCCCCCAGTCCAAAACAGTCCGGTGGCACCTTTAAGACCAAGTTTTATTCAGGTACAAGCTCTCCCTCCTCTGTGAGGACAGATCTGCATGCTTCCCCCCCCCCAATAGCTAGCGGTGGGTGTTGCCTTCTGACAAACACTTCCGGTGATGGCAGGGGGGGTGTGGCATACGCAAATAAGTTATGCTAATGAGTTATGCTAATGAGCGCCTGCCCCTCTTTTTTTACGAAATGACCCCTGGGTTGTGCACATTATAGACTCGGTCACGTAATGGCACTGCCATGCGCTATTGATGCCACACTTTTGGTTTGACCAGAATCTGAAATGAAAACACAGTAAAAAGAAAATGGAAAAGGCTGTCCACAGAACATGAGTGGAGGGCCCGAAAGCCATCCACTCTTTTCTGCCAACACTGGACCCAACCTGTGTACCCTGTGATGTTTAAATTGGCCCATGTTTCATTACAGAGGGGTGAGTAGCAGTGTTCCCTCTAAGCTGAGTTAGTGTGAGCTAGTTCACGGTTTTTTAGCCTCCGGCTCACACGTTTTTGTTTCAGCTCAGGAAGGAGGGCTCCAGAGCAAGCTAATTGATGCAGTAGCCAGATCACTCACTCACAACCAATACTCCCTCTAAGCTGTGGAGTCTTGTGAGCAAAAATTCTACTTTGTGAGCTGCTGGCATTAAAGTTGTGAGCGAGCCATTTGGCTGCTCCATAAATTAGTTTGCTCTGGAGCCATCCCTTCCTGAGCTAAGACAAAAAGGTGTGAGCCGGAGGCTAAAAAACTGAGCTAGTTCACACTAACTCAGCTTAGAGGGAACACTGCTCACAACTTTAATGCCGGTAGCTCACAAAGTAGAATTTTTGCTCACAAGACCCCCACGGCTTAGAGGTAGCACTGGTGAGTAGTATATTCCCCTCAGCTATGGTAGAGACTGCGGAGCTGCCTCTGTTCATCTTGTGGCCAGCTTGTAAACGACCTTCCCTACAGGAAAATGGTTACTGTCCCCATCAAGCTATTTATTTACTGGGAACGTTTCCGCCATTCTCTCCTACGTATTTGTTCCGGGCAGGCTAGACGACTCACTATAGTAACAGGAGAATGGCAAAACTGCTTGGGAGAGGAGCAAGCCAGACTTCTTATCTATTCAGGATGTGCACTGATCCCCCCGGGGAAATGAGAATCGCTTGGCGGGCTCAGACCAAAGGTCCACCTTAATCCCATGTTCCGGCTCCGATGAGATGAAAAGAGCCTCCTAAGCAGACATCTAGGCATCAGAGAGTTGCGGTCTCTCAGGGTCGAGGTCTCAGGTGTGTCCATGGAATGTCAAGGTTTTGTACCGATTTCTGCTCCCCCCCCCCAGGACAACAGAACATGCGGACCAAGGTCAGTGAGGATCAGTGGTCCTTTCCGCACTAGACCTTAAATCCTGGTTCAACCTTGTCCTCGAACTGTCATTCTACACTAAACGCGAGTTCACCCCTGTAATTATCTCGGGGTATTTTTACATTCTACACTACATGAAATTTCACTCCTGTAAGTATCTCGGGGTATTTTTTGTTTCCACATTACATTGAGGTCACCCCGGATTCGCCCCACACTTGTCCCGGGATAAACAGATGCTGTTATAACCAGGGATAAATGCCAGATATTGTGTCTTGAGTTGAACTCTGATAAAACCAGGGATGAGATCCAAGTGCAGAAAGGACCAATAAGGACTAGGAGCCTGGGGCAGGAGACACAGGGCATTTTCACACATGGTGAATAACACACTTCCAATCCACTCCCGATGCACTCTGAAACTGGATTTCACTGTGTGAAATGGGGAAATCCACTTGCGAAAGTGCACTGCAAAAGGACCGGAAGCGCATTATTTCCCATATGTGCACTGAGTGGGTGGCAGCCCCCCGCCTCTCAGCGAAGCGGCTGTCCCCGGCAGGTTGGAAACCGTTTCACACATTCCTGCAAAATCGCACTGACTATATGAAGACAGTACAAGAAGGATGACTGATCAGCTGCTACCGTGAGATGAACTGTTTTCAAATCCAGTTGAGAAATGAATCAATCAGTGTTAGAACCTTATCTTGGGGGAAAACAGTAATATCAAGATTTTAAAAACACACACACCCCTGATGTTTGAAATACAGAACATCTTTTCTTTTTCTTTTTAAAAATAGAGATACATAATCAGTTGTGGGCACGATCCTAGGAAATCTATTTGTTTTGATATTTGGAAATGTGGAAACGGCTTCTCATGCACTAACCCATTTTATGGCTGCAACAAAATGGTAAAGAACACTAGGAATGCTACGCAAAACTACAGGGATACTACAAATCCACGTCTTGGAAATGCAAAAAAGAGGAAAACAGGTTTCCCCCCTCCACACACTTTATAGCTAAGAAATACCTTATAGCTAAGAAATGTGGGCAGCAGATTAATGCTGTAAGGTAATTTGGTTTAGATCCCTTCCTATTTTTGCTTGCACTAAAGACAGAACCACCTAATTATCGAGAAATGATTTCATATCTGGTTTCCCCCAGCCAGAATAATTCATGTAAAGTATTGTAGAATAGTAGCTTCACCCACATTGGCTGAACAAGAAAATAAATGGTGCGGGTAAGCTACCGTGCATGAACTTACTAATTATAATGTCGGCGTAGAAGAAGGAAGCCAATGATGAAATCAGTTTGGTCAGAACTGGGCTAGCTTTTAGTAGTTATTGGAAAGTAGGGCTTGTAAATTTACAAATGTCTGTCACATGTTTACTGTATGGGCTTTATGGCTTCTGCAACCAAATATTTCGGACCCCTGTACTCTGCTTTTTCTAAGACTTTTTTTCACAGCATGAAGCCACCTTGTTTTGAATACAAAAGATCCAATTAAGCCATGAGGTGCAGGATTAGGATTGCAAGATCTGTCTGACCAGTCGGAGGGGGGGTTGCTTACCGAGAGCAGGGAGGAACACGTGGCATTTCAGCGACGTGCATACGTGACCCGGAAGAAATGTAGGCACGTCGGGGGTGACGCTCTGGTTTTCGGGCAAAACGCCATGGCAGAATTAGCTTCTACCATAGAGTTTTTGCCCAAAAAACAGAGCGTCGCCCCTGATGTGTCCACATCACTTCCGGGTCACATAGGCCCATCACTCTAATTTCCAGTATTCCTCCCTTTTTTGGGGGTGGGGTAATTCCCCCCCGCCGGCCAACTGGCCAGTGGGGGAGAGGTGCGGCCTGGCAGTGGGAGACCCCCCCGCCCCCACCAGGAGATCTGGCATCCCTATGCAGGATGCTATCTTTGGACTCACTTCTCAGGAAATGGAAAGCACTGAATGGGTTTGGAATCCTTCTCAGGGGCAGAGACACATGTGTAGGATCACATGGCACATTTCTTATTTTTCTCAACATGAGAAGCCAACTAAGGGCAAGCACAGCATGCCTAGGCCTCCAAGCGTGCTGCGGGGTCAAGGGAAGCATTTGGGCTGTCTGTTTTACTTCCGACAGTCGCTTCTGCCTATGCATAGCAGCTTTGGAGTACCTGTGGAAATTCCTTGGCTCACATCTTGTTACGAATTAACAATGTTGCCTCGGCAACAAACGCAGATTGCGGGCCGCTTTTCCCAGGAACTTAATGGTTACACCCCGCATGTTTTAGTTCAAAATATAATTGGTGGAGTGTCAGATATAATTACATCTATTAGCAATACAGAGTAAATTTGTGTTTAGCTTCTATTGATTAAGTAGTAAACTGCTCCGTTTTATATGAACTGCTCATCGTAAATCTGCTCTGGTACCCTACTGAATAAGAAGCTAAACCTGGCACTATAAACGAATAATGGCGCCTGGGAATGCTCTCAATAACTCAAGAGTAAATAAAGCGCAGGGCGAGGTTTTCCTGGAGGAATACGTAGTTCCCTGGCTGTTGTAAAAGCGGTAGCAGAGGAGAAAAATACAGATGAAAAAACTGGTGGTGAGGTTTAAAGGGAAGGGAAGACCTCATGGCAGCACAGGGTGGGAGGGTCTAAACCCACAGGTGGGAGGCCGATCTTGGCAGGCCCTCCGCGGATCAAAACAAGGGCATCTTAGGCAGGGGTCGTTTCGTAGAAAAAGAGCTAGGGGAATTCATTAGCATAACTCATTAGCATATGCCACACCCCCTGACATCACCGGAAGTGTGTCATAAGGCCACACACCCCGCCCCCAACGGTCCCGGCCACTGCCGGCCTTGCAGCTCCACTGCCCGGCGGTGGACCTGCAAGGCCGGCGGGAGTGCAAGGAAGCCCCACACCTCTTCTGCCTCCTCCTGGCTGAATGAGGGCCGGAAGCGGCGCGGCCGGAAGCAGGGGGCGGGGCTTCGTCATGTGCCCCGCCCCCCGCACCTCACCCGGGGGGACTGCGATCCCCCCCGAAATGACCTCTGATCTTAGGTACTTGCAAAAGCCGTTTTCTGCACACCAAGGATCATATCTTGAATCCCTCCCAGCCCACGCCTGTTATTACACAATTTAGTTAGGGCGCGCAGGGCTCTTTTTGTAGCAGGAACTCCTCTGCATATTAGGCGACACACCCCTAATGTAGCTAATCCTCCTTACAGTAGCCCCTGTAAGAAGAGCTCTGTAAGCTCTTGGAGGATTGGCTACATTAGGGGTGTGTCATCTAATATGCAAAGGAGTTCCTGCTACAAAAAGAGCCGGAATTTATATGCCACCTCTCTAGAGTCCTGCTCACTTCTTCCCCACTTGCTGCAGAGTGTTTTCATTTATTCTCCAATAAACTGATGAGATTTAAAAGTAAACAGAATGTTCTAGATATATTAGGAAAAGGTGATTGGGCTCTGCGTAATGGCAAGATGCGTGCTACAGGGTACCACTGCGAGGAAATCGACGCATGAGAGGGCTTGGCATGATGTGGTCATCTTCCACTTGAGTCATGGGTGATTTCTTATTTGCTGATAGATACTAACCCGGCAATTACTGCTTCAGTAGCAAGGTATTTAGCAACTATAATAGCATTGAAGCGTAAATAGTGGACACCACTGAAAAGCTTATATTTATTTATCTTAACTATTTTAAACAATATGTTCGGAATGTTTTATACTGATTATATCCTACCAATTTGGAGAAGCTCACTGTTTTAACTTTATTTTGATTGTCTAAACATAAACTGTATTTCATACATGTGCTTGAGACCTTTGGTCATGTAATCTGAAATAAATAAATGGAAAAATGGAAACTGCAGGGTACCTCTGATCAATGCTCCCTCTAAGCTGTGGAGTCTTGTGAGCAAAAATTCTACTTCGTGAGCTACTGGCATTAAAGTCATGAGTGAGCAATTTGGCTACTGCATAAATTCGTTTGCTCTGGAGCCCTCCTTCCTGAGCGAAGAGGAAAATGTGTGAGCCGGGGGCTAAAAAAGCTGTGAGCCGGCTCACACAAACTCACCTTAGAGGGAACGCTGCCTCCGATACGTGTATTAGTGGCAAGATCCATCTGCTCTCACTAGGAGGTTTAAGTTCAAATATTTATTTGAGCGTGTTGCTTAAGTCTGGCAACTCATACTACTTACATTTCCTCTGCTCCCCAAAGATAAAGCGCCCAAAATCTTATGACAAGATTGTGGTATGCCATAGAGAGAGTGGCCAGAAAAATGGGGATGGCTGGGCGGAGTTCCTGGAGAGGGGACTTTGCAAAATATTAATTAACTCATTCACTCCTTCATTCTCAGATTTAAATACCAGCTCATGGTACCGCTCTCAAAAGAGGGAGCATCATGCCCAAAGGAGACTGTGATGTAAATTTGGACAGAAAAGGAGACAAAGAAAGAAGAAGAGATTGGATTTATACCCTTCACTACGCAAAGGAGTCTCAGAGCGGTTTACAGTCTCCTTTCCCTTCCCCTCCCCACAACAGACACCCTGTGAGGTAGGTGGGGCTGAGAGAGCTCTGACAGAAACTGTCCTTTCAAGGACAGCTCTGACAGAACTATGGCTTGCCCAAGGTCATCCAGCAGCTGCATGTGGAGCAGTGGGGAATCAAACCCGGTTCTCCCAGATTAGAGTCCATGCACTTAACCACTACACCAAAATAGGGAAGGGAGAAAAGGGTGGGGATGTTTGAACACCTGCCAGTTGAGCTCACTTTCCTTTCAAGCAGCCAAAGCAATTGACCTGTTCGAGTGTATTTGCGGGAACAGGCTTCTTGAAGCCATCAGGCGCTGATTGCCAGCTAATGAGGGCGCTCAGTGTGATCTCCTGCTAGGGAAATTTTACTCTGTACCCAGGCTTCGTTTCAGGGGGAGGGGATCCAGGCCGATCAGGGGGAAGCCAGGTCCTTCCAATTTCCCTTCATGGAAACTTTGCCATCTCCCCAGACTCGCTGAGTTGCCGCAAACTGAGTGCTGTGTGTATTTGACCAGAAGCCCAGCTGATCTACTTTCTTTCCTCCCTACCTCAAGTTGTTGGATTGAACGGCAGAGAAATGGAGAGAAACCAGCTCTTTCTTCTCTCCCTTATGCAATGGGGAGCTCAGAAGTATGGCTTCTGTCCCTGCTCTGCTTGGAAGGGAGGGAAGGAAAACCCACTCTTTCTCCTCTCCCTTTGGCAGCTACGCTGTGTAGATATTTTTGCCACCTTCCCCCCTCCATTAGCTGTGCATCAGGTTCTGACCAATAGGCAGCTTTGGCAGAAGTTTAAGTTGCTCGATGCTAAATGAACGAATCACCGATTGGCTAACAGTCTAATTGTGCGCACTGCCACTGAACAAGCTAAGCATGGCTGCTGAATGTGACTGCCAAGAAATTCTACACATTATTGGAATTATTGGGGGGTGGGGGGTGGAACATGACTCAGGGAGGCAATTTTCAGTGGAAGCCCTGTGTCAGACACAATTGTGTAGTTCACCCATGTCCTCCGTCAATTACAGTACAAATGAAATGAAGCATTTCCCCACACTCCTTACGTACCTTCGCAATAACAGGGCAATATTGGTTAGCGGGAAACCCATTCTTCAGTTCTGAAGAAATGAAACTTTGATTATAAGCACAGTTATGCTCTCAGGTATTGAAATGAATTCTAACGATCGAGACTGAGCAGATAACTATTTTGGCACAGCGACAAACTTGCTCGGACTCTGTTCCAAGCTACAATGGCATGCTTTACCTGTGAGCCTGTGGAATATCTTCCAGGAGTTCGTGACCCAGACGTTTTCCCTGAGCCGATGGAGCTCTCTGTACTTTTCCCACTACAGCAATGTGTACGCAGGCATTTCCCATATTCTTTACGTACCTAAGCAATTAAATGGCAACATTCATTAGTGAGGAACCCATTCTTTGGCTTTGTAAACTAATATTTGTATGATTCTACACAGATTGGGGAAGGAGATCGTTAAAATGGCCGCCGTTTGGGTATACCTGATAAAATTGGCAATTTTATGCTTTAACACACGTTTACGACTTTGTAAGGGAACGCCTTAGGCTATTCTTTTGCTGATAACTTCAGACCTCAGCAACCGCCCAGGCTCATCAAAGCAATGCAAAAATAAACCGGTCATTCAGTTTACGACTGAAAATCAATAACACTTTAAGATTTATATGATCTGGCAATTGGATAAAAACATTTTTGCTTTCTGGCGAGGTTGTCAGAGAAGTCGTAGACACACAGAAATGCACACAACTCTCTCCATTTTTCTGAGGGGAAAACCACAGCAACACAACTCTGCATTTTGCCTTCAATGGCTGTGCACGTTCAGGCCGCAAACTCCTACATTATTGCCCTCTTGCAGAAGCGGGACCTTTCAACCCACCTGGATAACCAACAGCACCATCCTAACTAAGCACAGTTGCGCCTGTCCATTGAAGACAATGGATCTAGAAGGGCTTAACTCAGCATCCGACTGCATCGCCAAGAGCCTTTGGCATCAATATGTTCAACTTCACTATGTCTGAAATGGAGAAGAAGCCTGGTCCACAACCATGAACACAGATGAAGAGCGATCACATGAAATGAGGCAGTAATCACAGAGGGGCTTGTATTTCCTTGGCTGCGTGCTGGGAAATTCAGGTTGTGCGCCAGCAACCAGGATGTCCTGTAAACTGCTACTGGCATTTTGTGAGAGGCAGCAAAGAACCCAACCCACCCTGTAATCTTTCACTGTTGTCACCCCACCGGTGTGCAAAAACTGGCAGCCTGTTAAAGACATGCAAGAGGGGGCATGACGGTGTCGGTGGAACGTTCTGGTTTTGTCTGACGTGGCTCTCCCTGGCCATTGGCTCCCCCTCCTCCCCTTCAATTATTCAAGGCCATTCCTTCTTTTATTTTTCAATTGCTGACTCTGCTGTATTGTGCCATTTCCTGGAAGGGGCCTTATATGGGTCAGTTATTCCAATCCCCCTGCTCAGTGCAGGAAATCCAAAGCCAATTAACTGTGTGCAATCCTATTAACACTTTCCTGGGAGAAAGGCCCCCGTTCAACAGAGCCAAGTAGGATTCTGAGAAGACCAGCTTACAATCGCGCCATAAACCTATTTTCTCTGAGCAGCATCATGATCCTACTTTGTCTGGTCCTGGAAGAGGCCTGTGTCAACCTAGGGAGTCAGGACCTCTGAGAAGAAAGAGACATGTCTCTGGAGTGTTGGGCCTTGTTCAGAGAGAAGATGGGGGTCAAGATCGCTAATCAAGAATATAAAAACAGCCCTGCTGTTCAGCTCTGGTCCAGTACAATGCTTCTCTTAAACTCATGCACAGGGGAGTAAGGCATGTGACCCCCACACTGGTCTTTGCCCCCCCATAACTGGAATTCAGGCACAAACTAGTTCCTTATTAGCTGTTCATAAGACCAATCCTCTGAGAAACCTCCCCCTGTAGAAGTGGGGAAGGGGAGCAGCTGAGGCAGCTGGAACTAGCATCTGGCACTGCCCTGTTTGCTGGTAAATCACAGAATTGCGGAGTTGGAAGGGCATCTAGTCCGACCCCCTGCTCAGTGCAGGATCAGCCTAGAGCATCCCTGACAAGTGTTTGTCCAGTCGCTGCTTAAAGACTGCCAGTGAGGGGGAGCTCACCACCTCCCCAGGCAGCGGATTCCACCGCTCAACAATCCAGCCGGTACCTTCCCACCCTTAATTTAAACCCATTATTGCAAGTCCTCTCCTCTGCTGCCAAGAGGAACAGCTCCCTGCCCTCCTCTAAGTGACAGCCTTTCCAATACTTCAAGAGAGCAATCACTTTCCCTCTCAGCCTCCTCTTCTTCAGACTAAACATTCCCAGGTCCCTCAGCCTTTCCTCACAGGGCTTGGTCTCCAGGCCCCTGATCATCATTGTCGCTCACCTCTGCACCCGCTCCATTCTGTCCACATCCATTTTTGAAGGGAGGCCTCCGGAATTTTGGCCTGGATCTGTCTGTATGTGCAACCCTTCTGCATGAGCCTCAGGGTTCTTGGCCCTCAGCAGTTAGCCCATAGCTTGCAACCTGGAACCCTGCGTGAGCTGTCATGCGATGACGTTTCATCCGATAACCCGTTAGAAGAGTGACCTAAGTGTCTGTCTGTGTGCCCGTCTGTTGAAATTGCATTTTAAAGTATATTCTGTATGTATGCTGCTTAAAACGAATACAAAAATTCCCCAAGAGAAACTGCCTAAACCTCTTTTTCACCTGCATTGTTTCAGTCTGTATTTTAAAACCACCCATCCTCCAAAGAATGTATCTGGCGCCTCCTTCCTTCCCTTTGTCCTCGCAACGACTGACCGTTGTGGGCTAGGCTTGTTTGGGAAAGGGAGAGAAGGACGGGACCAGAGTCACTTTGTGAGGTTCCGTAACAGGGGTCTTGTTCAGGGATGCCAAATCCGGGCCAAGGAATTGCTGGAGATTTGAGGGCGGAGCCTGGGGAGGGGAGGGGCTGGGAAAGGGAGGGACCTCAGCAGGGTGTAATACAATAGAGTCTGCCCTCGAGAGCAGCCATTTTCTCTAGGGGGAACTGAGCTCTGTAGTCTGAAGATCAAGTGTAATTCCAGGAGGTCTCCAGGCCCAACCTAAAGGCTATGCAAAAATATATAGCACTGTGTCTAATAGATGTATGTTCAAGGAAGATCAATTTTATGCCTTTTCTTTTTTTATTTTTCTGTACTGTTATACAAAATGGTGTCAAATGTTATCAAAAATAGGTTTCACCCAAACAAAACAAAGCGCGGGTTTACATTCTTTTCAGATATTCGGACAACACCTTGTCAGTATCACAATCATTAGTCCCAGAACTTGAGAGATCTGCTATTATCAGTGCTCCGTCTAAGCTGTGATGGCTACCTGATAGAACATGAGAGCTATTATCAGTGCTCCGTCTAAGCTGTGGAGTTTTGTGAGCAAAAATTCTACTTTGTGAGCTACTGGCATTAAATCTGTAAGTGAGCAATTTGGCCACTGCATCAATTAGTTTGCTCTGGAGCCCTCCTTCCTGAGCTAAGACAAAAATGTGTGAGCCAGAGGCTACAAAACTGTGAGCTAGCTCCCACTAACTCAGCTTAGAGGGAACACTGGTTATTATGTCTGCCACAGGGGTTCCGATGGGACCCTAGAAAATATGCTGCTACCTTAAGAGGTTTTGTGCTGACAAAGAGAAATTATTTTGCCTTATGTTCTTTATATACATCACGGTCCTTGAAAAAGACTGCATTCGAAACAGGCAAATTACTAGAGTCCCGGTGGGACTAGTGACTGTGATACTGTTCTACCTTGAACATACATCCATTATACACAGTGCTATACATTTTTGCATACCTTCCTAACACTGTGACCCTCAGTTTTTGTATTTCCCACCTGGAGGCTGGCAAGCCTAGATTTGTGGCCCCTTAACAGCGAACAAAATTTTATTCCAGCCTAAGCTTTCATGGACTATGGCCTGTTTCTTCAGATGCAATGAATGCAGGCATTTTATGTGGGCAGGATAAAAATGGTACTTAGCAGGGCGGAGGCTTGACCGAGGGTCTTTCTATTCCTGGCCCGATATTCTAACTGCTGACTATACCATGCTAAGTGCCATCAAGTAAAATACCAAAATTCTACACAGGAGATCGTTTTGGAAGTCCAAGCATTCCAGTTGGAGATAAAGTGGAAGTCCAAGGAAAAAGGCAGGTGCAGATTGAAAGGCAGGTAGTAGGATGGGGGGGGGGCATGGATCGTTGATGGGAGGACTAGGCTTTGCATCCAGGAGGCCACGGGTTCGATTCTTGGCTTCTCCAGTGAAAATGACCCCAGGCAGCAGGAAACTGGGGAATGGACTTTTTGTGCAGGAGTCCCTGGCATTTAGTTCAGCCCTGAGCCAGATGGGCCAACAGTGCCACGGGGTGTACGGCAGTGTCAGATGTTCATACAGCAAACCAGAGAAGGACTTTCGAACAGGGGCAGCCTGTGAAGTTAAAGTGACCCAGGGGCAAGCCAAGAGGAATGACCCCCTCTGGCGCTATGAGCCAGTGCTGTAGGGCTCACCTGGCTCAGCAGTGCCAACGCTGGGCATCACCTAGCCCATTCAAATGGTCTTTGTGGTACTGGCAGAGACGTTGGGGTTTGGCTCTGTTTGTTCCTAGCTGCCAATGGCCATCTAGGGTGGTGACCCACCAAAACATAAGAGAAGCCAACGTTGGATCAGGCCAATGGCCCATCCAGTCCAACACTCTGTCACACAGTGGCCAAAAAGCCCAGGTGCCACCAGTGGGGCCAGGACACTAGAAGCCCTCCCACTGTTGCCCCCCTCCCCAAGCACCAAGAAGAAAGAGCATCACTTGCCCCAGACCAAGAGTTCCTATCTATTATAGGTAAAGGTTCCCTTGCTTGAAAGCCAGTCGAATCCGACTCTAGGTTTGCGGTGCTCATCTCCGTTTCAAAGCCGAAGAGCCAGCACTGTCCAAAGACATTTCTGTGGTCATGTGGCCGGCATGACTAAACACCAAGGCGCACGGAACGCTGTTACCTTCCCACTGAAGTGGTACCTATTTATCTACTTGTAATTTCTTTCTTTCGAACTGCTAGGTTGGCAGGACCTATCTATTATACCTTGTGGCTAATAGACACTGATGGACCTCTGCTTCATATGTTTATGCAATTCCCTCTTGAAGCTGCCCATGCTTGTAGCCGCCGCCACCTCCTGTGGCAGTGAATTCCATGTGTTGACCACTCTTTGGGTGAAGAAAATGAATAAAATACAGGAAATTCCCCTTAAAATTAAATGGCCAGCCTCCCACTCCATCAAGCAGCGAAGCAATGTACTGCCAAGGATGGAGAAGGAGCACCATCCAGCAAT